AACAAACCGTGGAAATCGGGTCATTTTGGTAGTAGCTGATTACTTCACCAAGTGGGTGCAGGCTTTTCTTCTTCCCAACCAAGAAGCTGAAACCGTGGCAAGTGTTAGTAGAACAATTCGTAAGCAGGTTCGGAATTCCTGAAAGCTTGTATTCCGACCAGGGCCGAAATTTTGAATCGCGAGTGATGAAAGAGATGTGCTCGATTTTAGGTATTACAAAAAACGCGCACTACACCCTTCAACCCCAAGTCCAATGGTTTGGTTGAATGTTTCAATCAAACATTAACCCAGTGCTTATCAAAGTTGCCCTAACCTCATGTGCGACAGCCTGACTGGCACACAAAGTTACCCTACGTGTTAATGGCATACTGCAGTTCAGTTCATAGCATTACAAGTGAAACACCCAGCACGCTGATGTTGGGGAAAGAGGTCAAACTACCGATTGATTTAATTTTTTCGAAGATCTACCAAAAGAAAACGAGGTTATAGATTATGCTTGGAAGCTGCGCAGCAGTCTGAATGAAGCCAGGATTCGTGCATGCAAAACTATGAAGTGTAGTCCGACAAAAGGCATGTCATGATCGTCTGATACAAGGGGAACCATATAGGGTTGGTGACCAAGTATGGCAGAAAGTGAATAACAGAAAAAAGGGGCTTAGTCCAAAACTTCAGGTTAAATGGCAGGGTCCATTTACCGTCTTTGGATCGCCAACAGAATTGTAATGGCTGTTAGATATTGTTATCAGTTTATTAAAGACTCAGTCTTTTTTTTGTATTTTGATCTGTTTGTGCCCCTGATGAGGCCTCCGGGCCGAAACAGCTGTAGGGACTTATGTAAATTAAAATGGAGAGAACAGACTAACTTTGTTCGGTTCCTTGTCTTTCTCTCTCTCTCTCTCTATATATATATATTAAATTTATTTATTTAAGACCCCAGATCTGAATGTTCTACTTGTTTGTTAATGTTGTTAAATGTTTTGCTCTTTATCATATGTACCTGTAATTGATTATGTCCAATTCAGTGATTGTGTAGCAGAGATGCCTACCTAAAAATGTTAAAATCAGGACTTTTGGTAAAATTTTCAGTATTTTCTAATAACTTTCAGTAACACAAATCCAATTAATCAACACCTTATTTAAATCATTAAATGTTATTAAGCACTACCTTATTTTTTTATAAAAGGGTTGTCTTTGATTATGTTGATCAAACGTTTCTGGGTATGCTGGGCATTTTTCTGTACAATTGCCGTTGTTTTTGAGCGCCCGCATGCAAACGATTTGGCGATTTCAGAGTCACTGAACTTGGTTTTACATATGGCTGTTATTTTGTCCATAATTGAAAATTGGAGATTTTGTTCCACACAGAGATCGACGAAGGCAACCTCCGCATCAATCACATTATATTTCAGTTGAGTCGTCTTTTGTAAGAACTTGCTCCTGTTTGAGCTGACTGCGGCCTTCGCCAACTTGGCATATTCAGCGTGTTTCTTCGACTGCACATGTCGGCGGCAGTCATCCCGGCCACCGTGCGCGATGGAAATGTCCACGCGGCACACTTCGCAATACGTATGACAACTGCCTTGTTTGCTTGCCTTTAAGCAAGGCCACTGTAATGTGTAGCTGGGGATAAAATTTTGGCTCCGTTTCTTCGCGCTTTTGTCATTTTCTTCGCCTTTACGCTTCTCCGCCATTTCTGACAACACGTGTGTAGCAGAATGAAACTGGTGACCTTTTCAATACGCATGCGTCAGTCCCTACATAGGTTACTTACACTAGACATGATTGGATAGTTAGATACGACACTTCCGCTATTGTATTGTGGACTCTACTTATTACGGTATAAACAAAAACAAACAATTCAATCAATGGTTATATTAAATATACCCTAATAAAACGTATTTCAAAACTATTCTTCCGTAACATCGTATTTTATTGTCAAATCCGTACAAAATACGGCCAAATCGTAACGATAGGCATCTCTGGTGTAGGCAGTCTTAAATAAACCTGACGCTTAAAATTTGCAGGTACCAAACCAAAAACACCCAAAATTGAGAAGTGGCACTATTTGCCAAAGTGGGAGATTGGAAGACCATGGCTGACCTACAAAAATGGGCTTATGTTTTGTATTTGGTGCAAACAGTTTAAAGAAGATATCATGAGAAAAAATTCAGTTGTCACCAGTAATGATTAATGGGTCGTCAAGCTTTAAATTAGAAACAATTAAAACTCAAGAGAAAAGCAAGACTCACCTAATGTCTTCAGATATGAATATAAACGTAATTGAAAAACCAGCTGCAAACATATATTGTGCAATATGTTTGGACTAAAGAATAAACAAATAACTTTCAAAAAAGTTTTTTTAACCTTATCTTTATTTGCAAGACTTCATAAACTTCATTGGTACCTGATAACATCTCAATCATCAGTCATTACCACATGGCCTGCACTTTGAATATTTGGCCAGTAACTTATTAATAAAACAGGCCAAAGTCTGGTTTGTACATTTTCAGTTTGGCCTATATCTTTCAAAACTCACTGGCCAAATTTTCCTGTGCTATTTCAAAAGAAGGTCAAACACTGCTGTTAGAAACTAAGTGATGTCCACGAAGTCCAGGAGCCACAAGCCAAGCAAGGGATCCCTGACAGAGAGTGCCGCCTGTGGTGGAGCCCACCAGAAGTTGACAACCATGATTTGAAGCTCGGGTAAAAACGCTGGGTTTGAAGAGGGGAAGCCATGGAGGAAGACAATAGATGCACTGTCCAGTCCTCTGATGATTTTTTTTAAAGTTGCCGACTGTGTTGAAATCCGAGACGAGAAGTCTGAAGAGTTCTAGGCAACTTGCCGAAACACTGTGATTTGCCCGGCTGAGACAGCCGGATGAGCGGTTCCAGACCTGGAGTCTGATGATTTTTTTAAGCTGCTGACTGTGTGTCGAAGGCCCAGACGAGAAGTCTGAAGAGTCCTAGGCAACTAGCTGAACCACTGTGATGTGCCCGGCTGAGACGGACATACTAGCCGTCAAATGATAAACTTTGCTTGTATGCTATTGAAATTTTTTATGATTATCAATTTCTACATTAAAGCTGTTTGTCTTTACTTGAAATCCACTCTTGTTGTTCGTACTGGGGATATACTTTCCCTGGGGAAACTAAACATCTCTCCTGTCCCCCCAAAAAAATCACATGCCCACAGGGCCCTCGCGGGGAGGGGTTGCATCACAATTTATTGCTGACATAAATTGCCATACATGTGGATGTTGTATGTGACTAAGAAGTTCAGTCCAATGGGAGGTAGGTTGAATCTTTGGAGTGGGGAGGAAGAGGTGCAGGCCCGTAGCCAGGGGGGGTTCGGGGGGTTCGAAAGAACCGCCCCTTTTGCTGGGAAAAGGTCCACTCTGGGTAAAATTTGATCTAGGTACATGAAGTTTTCATCGGAAAAGGTCCACTTTTTCAGAAAACGAACCCCCCCTTTTGAAATTGCTGGCTACGGGCCTGAGGTGGGTAGTAGAGCTTGGGGTTTTGGTAATTGCTTTAGGCTCCTGCGAGAGAGGAAAGGAGGATAAGGGGGAATAGCTCAAAGTAAACAAGATTGCCTCAGTTATTCCTGTTTTCTCACTTAGCTGAAAATATGAGGCATAGCCTTACACAATACTCACAAAGTTCTGCACTATGAACTTAAAACATGGGAAAACAAAAGAAAACAATTAATAACGACTGCTTCTAATCAGTTTTCTCAAATAGCATGTGAATAAATGAAAAAACTTAAGTAATAATATTTCATGATTAAATTGGTGTGTAAAAAATGAGAAGCAAATATGATGAATTAAGTTTATCTCCAAACCATAAATAAATAATTACATGCAATGCATACATATTTACATATACATAGTAAATCATTATATTTTTGAACTCTAAAAAGTTCATGTTCCAGTCATTAGAAGTTTATGAAAAGTCCAAACTGTGGCAGATAAACGTCTTTTTTCTGTCTGGATGTAAATACACTTAACCAAGTCCTTGATTTATATACAATCTAAAAGAGCCAGAGTTTCTTTTGTTGAAATAAAACCAGTTCTGACATCATTTGTAAATATCATAACAGAAATATCTAATCACAGCCATTCTATTTCTACACAGTTAATAAAAAGAGGTTCAATACTTCAATGACATATAGCCCTATCCATTACATACAACTTACATCCTCCATTTGGAGTAAAACCAGAAATACAACCAATGAGAGCATCCAAAATATACATCATTACAATCTTAATTGTGTTAGTTTTAAACAGTCAACATGTATGCACCATAATTTTTGCTGTTCCCAGCAAGCAGCTCAGGTAACACATAGTTAGTAGTGGTTGTCTAGTTACAGTCATATTCATTGAGGAGGAAATGCTGCACAAACTGGCTTCTCTTGCTGTACTCTTGGGACTTGGCTCGCTTATTGCTTCCCTCTGGTGGTGGGCGGAGAACAACACCGCCAAACAGAGGGGCTGAAATAATTTATCACCAACACATTAAAAAATATNGGGGGAGTTCGGGGGGTTCGAAAGAACCGCCCCTTTTGCTGGGAAAAGGTCCACTCTGGGTAAAATTTGATCTAGGTACATGAAGTTTTCATCAGAAAAGGTCCACTTTTTCAGAAAACGAACCCCCCCTTTTGAAATTGCTGGCTACGGGCCTGAGGTGGGTAGTAGAGCTTGGGGTTTTGGTAATTGCTTTAGGCTCCTGCGAGAGAGGAAAGGAGGATAAGGGGGAATAGCTCAAAGTAAACAAGATTGCCTCAGTTATTCCTGTTTTCTCACTTAGCTGAAAATATGAGGCATAGCCTTACACAATACTCACAAAGTTCTGCACTATGAACTTAAAACATGGGAAAACAAAAGAAAACAATTAATAACGACTGCTTCTGATCAGTTTTCTCAAATAGCATGTGAATAAATGAAAAAACTTAAGTAATAATATTTCATGATTAAATTGCTGTGTAAAAAATGAGAAGCAAATATGATGAATTAAGTTTATCTCCAAACCATAAATAAATAATTACATGCAATGCATACATATTTACATATACATAGTAAATCATTATATTTTTGAACTCTAAAAAGTTCATGTTCCAGTCATTAGAAGTTTATGAAAAGTCCAAACTGTGGCAGATAAACGTCTTTTTTCTGTCTGGATGTAAATACACTTAACCAAGTCCTTGATTTATATACAATCTAAAAGAGCCAGAGTTTCTTTTGTTGAAATAAAACCAGTTCTGACATCATTTGTAAATATCATAACAGAAATATCTAATCACAGCCATTCTATTTCTACACAGTTAATAAAAAGAGGTTCAATACTTCAATGACATATAGCCCTATCCATTACATACAACTTACATCCTCCATTTGGAGTAAAACCAGAAATACAACCAATGAGAGCATCCAAAATATACATCATTACAATCTTAATTGTGTTAGTTTTAAACAGTCAACATGTATGCACCATAATTTTTGCTGTTCCCAGCAAGCAGCTCAGGTAACACATAGTTAGTAGTGGTTGTCTAGTTACAGTCATATTCATTGAGGAGGAAATGCTGCACAAACTGGCTTCTCTTGCTGTACTCTTGGGACTTGGCTCGCTTATTGCTTCCCTCTGGTGGTGGGCGGAGAACAACACCGCCAAACAGAGGGGCTGAAATAATTTATCACCAACACATTAAAAAATATAAATACAATGTTTGCACCTCTAAAGTAAACGAATAAATCAATTACAAAAGCTTAAAGGGATAATAACTCTTCGTATGAGGTCTATATTTCACGACAAAAACATTGTGCACAACTCATAGAAATAAAATATATTCGGTTTTACGACAAAAACGACAGTTATAGCTATTATTCTGATATCTGAACTGGTCTTCAGACCACGTGTCCTCCATTGATGGCTATACTCTGTTATAATCTCTTAAGAGATTTAAACAAAAACCCAAACTTTTTAGAAAAAAACCAGGGACTAACTTTGAATGTAAAAATGGATTCAATAACCATTGGTAAGTATGGGAAAATTGTTGTTTATTCCAGGAAAATTCATTTTTTGGCCAAAACGAAGAGTTATTACCCCTTTAAGAGATTGAAACTTTTTTCACTTTATTCTGCAGTAACATAAATCAAAACTTGCACCAAGACAATCTTAAAAGTGTGACATTACTTTTCACAATCAACTTGCTGAACTCATGATTTTAATGATTTTGTGAAATTGGAATTGATACATCTTTTTTCTCCTATCTGGCAAATACCTACCCAGTATGCCAACATCTACTCCATTGACCTGCTTGTACTTGAGCAACTCCCTAAGAAATGCCATGATGTAAACAAAGACATTGTGGTGGGCAGGAGGCATATGGAGCAGGATCTGAAATTAAATGAATTAGGAATCAAAGAATGAACTTTAGAAGAGTACTCAACAACAGACAAATGGATTGAGTGAAAATAAACCTTTAAGTCAGTGGTGCTATATGGGGTACTAATTCTGGGCAGAGATTGACAAGTATTTTCTGGGTTTCCAGGTAAAACACTTAAGGACAAATCTGAACCTTGAAACTAGGCAGGCAGGTTAGCACATGCACTGATATTACAAAAAGAAAATAAAATGCATACGACAAATTAATCAATTAGTCAGCGTCACACAAAACAACAACAAAGAACAAACCTTTTTACATGTTTCAAAATCTATTGCAGAATCTAGACACGGCTGGTAAAGATCATATGGAATGACAGGCTCTGGCAGTGCCTCCAAGAACATGAGCAAAGCTTCAGCAGCAGAATGGACACTTCCAGCTGGTGGAGGTTAAGGAATTGAACTACACCACTATGGTATAAGAATTTATGAGTCTCACTGTAAAAACTTATTCCTTATTTTTTTCAGCACGGATCTATACCTTGAAAAAAGATATTTCAAACTTTCACCATAGACAAAAAAATGCAATCATGACATTCAATAGGCCATATTTGATAACAGAAAAAAAAAAAGCATTTCTCTTATGACGTGAAAATATTTTGCAGACTGACCAACTCAAACAAGTCAATTATCCCATGGTCATCCTTGTACTTAACTTGATATAGTCACACCCTGGGGGTGTCAAGGATACACATGGTGTCTGGGGTCCCTGTGTCCAGACAGTCCCGGATCCACTGGATCTCCGTATGTAAACCAGGCTGCTGGAACAACTCCTCCTGAAAGCAATGAGTAAAAAACCTCTTAAATATGAAGTAGTTCAATTTTATATTATTTTAATACTAGGCCATGACGGTGCACTGAATCAGCATTTGCTAATTATTACAGGGAGTGGTATTTCTTTACTAGTCAATTGCTTTATGCTTTATAAACAACATGGATGACAATCTGTTTACCAATTCTGTTTAACTTAATGAATGCTACTTTTCAAGTTTCCCAGTCTGTATCACATTTGATGCTCTCAATCTGAATAACACTTTATATGTAGTAACAGTGACATTTGAGGCCTTTTATGTGGCTCTGCTTGTGATGTCCTCTTACCTCCTCTTTTCCTTGCTTGTATATGTAGTCCACCAGCCTGTACAATTCTTTTGGAATATCAAGTGGTTCTACATTGTCTCCAAAGAAAGACTTCCTCTTCTCACCAGCAGGAGATGTAGGAATATGTTCCTGAAGAACATATCAGGCCTCATGTTTTGTTTGGTTAATTATTAACCATTTATCTTATATCATACAAGTGTCATAAGATAAGAAACTAATGATGTTCATGCACATGATGTTTTTTTTTCATTTTCTTTTATTATTCATAAAAATAAAACTTAACTGTCACTTAAAAATATATAGAACTTTTATAAGAGACCAACCAAACTGATAAGGGTGTCTGTGGGTATCTCTCTTATCGGGTCCACCATATTGACTAGACTCTCAATGGAGGAACCAAAACAACTTGGGGTATATGAACCAGTTACAGAAATGTTGGCAGAGTTAAGGATTTAAATGCACAAGTTAATGGAGGGTATCAGGCCACCATTGAATAGAACAAATGAGTTATTATTATTCCATAATCAGCTATGTCAAAATTGGAGTGTTCATTTGGTACTACTTCACCATAGGTCTATAGATAAGATTGAAAAGAGCTATTTCATACTTTCATAATAGAAAAAAAGATTTTTAAAAAGATGGCAGTTGATATGTTACCATTTCTGGCAGAAAGAAATGAGTATTTATTTATCACTTTTCAAGATGAGAAATAATATTCTGTGGATATGGATTTCACAACGTACGAATAACACATAATATAGTGTGGTTTAAGGATATAAAGAAGTCTTTCCCTCCTTCTAAATGAAGCACCAATATGTCCTCTATTGTATCATCCCCTGCATTGAGAGTTGGGGCTGTATCTTTGTTCACATAAACTTCCAAATCAATAGTCACAGAATCCCCTGTAAAAAACAAACAGAGCAATCATCTGAGAAAATATCATTAAAAGAATAATAAAAGAAAACCTAATTAACTTAGACTGAACCTAATAAGAGAAAAGATTCCAAAGAAGAGCACATCAGCAATCATTATATTACTACTATAAAGACATATTACTTACCCAGATTATTATGATTATATACTTTAAACAAATCTAATATCCAGGATATGTAAAAGCACAAGAGGAACACAGTTTACAAAAACTTACAAATTAGCTTATACAGACCGAGTGACTGACAGACACACAAAGACACACACTGGTTCAAAACAGAGCAGAAATCTGGTAAAATGTCTTACCCATCAGAATATCAGCAGAAAACGGTTTGACAGATAGCCAAGGTTTACAGAAAGATTTCTCCTTTAATTTGTTGATGAATTCAAAATGCACAGGAACCTGAAAAGGAATTTTCAAAACCCACAATTCACATATTTCAGATTTGTGACAAGTTGAGTGGTTTGAAAATATATTTTCAACATATTTGTCAACATATTTTTGCCATGATCTTTTTCCTTTCATATCTGTACATAAATCACTTTTTCGTTGAAAAGGTATACAAAAATCAACCTACATACCTGTCCAGTATTTGTGATTTGTAATGTTTTTGCCTGTGGCTCAATAAATAGAACATTCTCAAATTTAACCTAAAAATGAAAGAGCAATTCTTGTAAACATCAAGTGTAAGAACCAGAAAAAAAAAAAAAAAAGAAACAGAATGTTATGTTTGCCTCACTTGATCCAATTTAAATATTGCTTTCGTGACACTAACATCAATTCAGAAATGCTATTATTCTTAAGTTTCATCTTATCTCCATCTCAACTAAAGAAAATTTACCTCATATTTGTCTAAGGTGACTGATGGTAAAAACTCATTTTCTAGTCTGTCCAGTTTTTTCATCATTTCCTCATATGTTTTTCGGTATAATTCTATGTCAATCTTCTTTACCTAGAAAGGAAAAACACCGATAATCCATTTTAGTGATATTTTAATTTTCAAGCACCAAATAAATTTTAAAATCTTTTAAACTGTGATTCAAAAATGAATTCGACTCTTTTTAATGTAAAATTTAATTTACTCTATTTTGCNAAAAGTTAGAAAAGTTGGAAGCTCCACTTTACTATGACTTATATTTTAATTTTAGGCAAAAATTGGAATAGAAATTTACAAAGGATACATGATCTTGTGTTAAAAGATTAGAAATTAAGATAAGCAACCCAGATGTAAAAAGGATAAAACTTAAATGCCAGAAAGCATCCAAAATGAAGGATGTTTAAACTTAAACCTTAAATATTCTATTATATCTGGCCTGAAAATTGAAAAAGCACCGATTTAAAATGCCAGGCAATAACATTCATCAAAAATGAAGTGAAAATATACAGCTTGATTATTTTATTGTGGGCCGGTAAAAAAAGGTGTGGGCTGACAAAATTTAATTTGCTCCAGCCCACATGTCTGGTAAGTGTTCAATCTCTTTCGCAACCACTGATTTTGTATTTAGCTTTTAGCTATAATATCTTTATCTTACCAAAATAATCAATTTTATATATTCATGTTACACCCTTATTTGGACACAATAAGCTAAAATACAGAATAGGTAATTTTTGGTGAGCGTGTCTGAAAAATCACACCAAAGCAAAATTGAAGAAGAAACAAAAAAGGAAAATCTCACGGACTTGTGCCTACAAGGAAGGAATTAATGTTCACCTTGACAGAGAAGTATGCACTGACTGGTTTGTGGTCACTAGTCTTCAGTATGGGATGACTCCTGTATGCTTCATTCTCTATATGCTCTCCCTTCCACATCACCCTGTCACACCAGGCGGGGCACCGGCACTTCTCACTGTGAAGGGAATTTTACCACATTTCAAGGGACAGTACAGGCATTCTTGTCCCTCTAAAAAACTAATTTACTCCAGTACAAATATAAAATTACAGTTTGTCTGATATGGTACTTCAATTGGTTGTCGTTTCATACCTAGTTTGGTATCCACCTGAAATATTTGTGCTTAAAGTGATAAAATTTACTGATAATTAACAGGCTTCGGTTTTTCTTCCCAGGCCTACATATGAGTTTAAACTGAAGAAATTTACTTTAAAAAAAATAACAAACCATGTGGCTACCTTGTATCCCATGAGTCAGTCCCTGTGTCATATTTATATGTTGGTTTGAACTTGATGGGTGCCTCTTCATAGTCTAAAAATACATTCTTCAGAGATCGTTGTTGAATGAGCTGAAAAATTAAAACTATACTACAGTAGAGCACCACGAACCATCTAAACATGTATTTCATCCAATTTTTAAGTTGCTACATTCATCGAATATATACAAAATCTCAATGTGTAAAATCTGGAACCTAAAATTAAAGTTTAAAAAATTTATATTTATGATAGACAAACAATCTAATTAATAAATAGACAAGATTTTTTTCACTCATCATGTTCCTTATTCCAAAAAATAAGAAAAGGAAATCATTACCTGGTCATATTCATACAACACGCTGTAATTACCAGCATCACATTCTTTCTTCACTCTCTCAAGATCAAGACCACTTATCCTGTAGTTTAGGTCACCCAACCAGAATATGCGACTAAAAAAAATAAATTTTGGACTAAATGTATAAGCATGTATTACATACAACTGAGAGAGCATAAACAGCAGGAAAAAGGTAAGGAAATAAAAGGTCTAATTGCATTGTTGAAATTATTACATAAATGATATAAAAGTGCATCATCATCTAAAATTCCATTGCTAGGGGAAGAACACGGTGCCCGAAATGATCAGTTTTATTCTTTCTTTTTTTTTTCTGTATTCTACATATAAGAGCTATAAATTTCCTCCACATTATATAATCTTCTACACACCATAAGAAAGTACAGTTACCAATTTGTCATTGATATTTGGGAAAAAACCTATATATTAGCATACTTACTCATGATCAGTGATAGATTGTGGATTGTCATAGCCAAGAAGATCACGAAACTGCAGGCGAGAATTGATATCCCTGTAATCCTGAAAAAAAAAACTTGTGGTACATATATCTTTTTATAACAGAATCATATAAATTACAATAATTTCTTTTTCTACTCATATAAATCAAATTATTTAATGAAAAGAGTAGAGAATTCTTTCATTTATGCTGTGTAAACAACTTGTAAGCTGTTCAAAAAAATTTGTACATGCAGTGACAGGGAAAGACAAACCTGGTTCCTCCTCTCATACTCCTCCATGTGGGCTGCCAGGTGGCTGTTGATGATACAGAATGAGGTATCAAACAGTTCAAACCTCACGGCCACACCACCTTTATTACCCTGCAGAGTAATTTCAAACACAGGTTAAGAATAAAAGCGTGTTTGTAATAAATAAATACAACAATAAATAACTTTCTAAAAACATTCAAATTTCAAGAAAAAAATTGCGCAATATGTGTTATCTATGAATTCCTGCATGTTATTACTCTCTACATAAAATATTAAAATTGAGTTTATTTTACTTAGTGATATCCCCCTCCCCCCCCCCCCAAAAAAAAAGAAAAAAAAAAAAAAAAAAAAGTGCAATTGTGTGTTGGCTAAAGGTCTACTGCTCCACATAAAAACAATTAGCAGTGATAAGGTAAAAAATATTGCATACACTGTACCATTAATCTTATACCAATGTCTTCCCCAAATCCATACGTAAGACACCCTCATGTAGACTTACCATCATCCCAAGTAGCCCTGTCCCCACCTGTTCTGCCTTCACCTTCTTAATGTGGTGTGTCAGTTCTTTTTTTACAAATAATATAAGCATCATCCCGACTAGACGAATTAAACACAGCTGTAAGAAAATATATCGAATTGTTACAAAGATGAATAATTTTGCTTACACAAAATTACGATGAGAAACATTTCAGTGTTTTATGCAAAAGTTCAGCTGAAAATAAGTTATTAAAGCATGTTTTGTTAGGTATCTAAACTACAGACTGAAAAGTTTCTTTTACTGTTAACTAAGACGTATAGCTACAACAGCAACAAACTTTGGCAAAAAAATTTTCCAGATGAAATCAGGACTTTTAACCACCAGATACACATTGTTGCATTTATCATTTTTGGGGCAAAAAAATCTAATGAAAGGTCCCATTCAGTATAGGGGACTAACTAGTCCGAGGGTCAAATATGGCTGACCTACTTGAATACTTCCCCACGGGATATTTATTCAGTGTCTATTAGTGGATTAGACAGCAAGCTTTTTAGTGGGTCGCCGTATTTGACCCTTGGACTAGTTAGTCCCCTATTCTGAATGGAACCAAAGATTCAAGTTTACAAACATTCCCACAAATATACTACTTTAAAGATGAAACAAATTCAAGGTGGGCTATAAATTGAACACAAAGGGGTATTTTCTTTCAACATACCTTTTTATAAGCAGCCTGTGGATGCAAGCCCTGTCGTACTGCTGCAAACCATTCTTGTTCTCTCTGAGATTCAGCAAATATGAAAGCCTGATTGCTCAAGTCCAACTCCTGAAATCTGATGTTTTTCAACAAATATAAAAGTAATCCACGTAGTGTGAAGGCAAGTTCCAACCACTGAAGCACTATGGGAATTCAAATTAATAGTAAGGTTATTACTCAGAACAACTTTTTTCTTTTTCCCTTCTTTAAATAAGTTAACATTAAATACTTCAATCGTTAACACATCCTCTATCAATAAACAAAGTGAGTGCATGTATTTTATTAGTATCTGACAGTATGTACCCTATAGCATAGATGTCAGGAGGGTATTGATCAAATGCGAGCCATGGGCTTAAATCTGTATCACCTGGGGGCTGACCATTTGTGTTCCATGTACCACAAAATAACCTGCCATAAAAAACAGATGAAAGTCAAAAGAAGATGACTGTAACAATGAGGCAATTGCGATCCCAAATTTTGATAAATCAAGAAAAGATCAACAACATTAGTTTTTTATAAATGTGTCAGTAGAACTGCATTAAAATGGCACATTTTAATCTAAGTAAAAAAATGTATGGTCTTTTTCCACATCAATTCTAAGAGCAGACAGACAAGTGTAGAAAATAAAAAGAGCACTAACCTAATAGTCTCAAGCCTTGTGAACTGATCTTCTACTTTGGACATGTACAGCTTAACAATACTTTCCCTGGGGCCTTCAGGTTTTGCATGACCAATTGCACTATCTATTGAACTGTACATGTCACTGCCCAATTCTCTACAGGGAAAAGACAAAAGTCAAAAACCTTTGGCACCATTCACAAAGAATGTTATAAAAGAAAACTGAATCAAGCTGGAAAAAATGTGCATATGTTGCTAACTTTGTTTTTTATAAATTGCATATCTGAGTGAATGCATGGAAAGCATCTGACTTAAACTTAATTAATTCACTAAAAATGCCTACCTGCTACTTGAAGCTGATGATTTACTATCAACTGATAAGTTTGAAAAACTGTCTTCAAATCCAACTGGCTTCCACACAGGAGATGTCCGCGCATCTGAAGAAAAATTTACCACTTTGATGCTAATGCAAAAATTAGGTTTTTAAACAAGCAGATATTGGTGTTACTTCAGAAACTCCTCTTTCATATTTTCCTCTTGTATGGACACATACAACAACACTTAATTTTTTTTTCAAATTTACTTACGGACCATTGGAGTAGCTCCATTATCTACAGGTTTTGCAATATGACCCCAAGGCCAATCTGGAGAAAAGAAATAATAAAATAAAATACATAAGATGAAAATAGACAAATAACAATAACAAGCAAATTTAGTTCAAGTCAATTTAAGAAAGGTAAATTTCATGTGGATCTCTAATTTACTACTGCAAACACAGACAAATGCTAAAATTTATATTTTTTCCCCTTTTTCACAAATGAATTTATCCCGCAAGACAAAACCCACCTGAAACTTCTGGTTCAGTTTTCTCAGGCATGTGTTTTGTTGGATCAAATACATCATTCGCAAAGGGATTGTTATCTATTTGTGACTTTGAATATTTATCAAGCCAGGAAAAAGATGAAGGAAGACCAAAACCAGCATTTTGTGAGTAGACTGAAAGAGGAAATCACCATAGAATTCATTATATAGCAGTCATATCTAATATTAAATAAGAAAATGCATATAAAACAAATCATATCTTTGTCAAAAGATCCATCAAAAGCAATAACCAATTACTAGAAATGTGATTAATTTTGTATATTCTGCAATAAATATCTAATTAATCTATTCATTGTCAGTGAGTGAATGAAAAGATGATCAAATTATCAAAGTTGCTACAAGTACTCAAGATATAGTTTTCATTAGGCCAAGCAATTCATCAATACTCAGCTACTCACATTGAGCACAAAATCATAGTAAATGAGTTTTATAGCAATTTTTTTCTTTTTTACCATCGATTCCCTTTTTCAGGTCTTTCAGCATAGCACTTAGTTGTGGTCCATTGGGAATTTGTAGCTTCAAATTATCACTGCTACACATTATAGTAAGCAGAACTGGGTCACCTTTGATAATAGGAAAGAAACTGTCATTTTCATAGCGCCCATTTAAATGACCAAACCCAATCCAATTAATGTCATTCATGTGAAAAATATTTAAATACAATTTTACCAAATATCTGATGTCACATATTTTAGATATTTATTACATTAAGTAGCCCAAAACAGCACTTTGAGTCTTAATGAAATCAAGCAATGCAACCATTAAAATATCAATATTTTTGTACTAATAATGTTACAGATCAATTAGCAGCTTCTTTCATATAGTCCATCCTTGTCTTTACCACAATGACAAGTAACTCATATAATAGTCATTAATGACACACAAAAAGGGTTTATAGTTGAGCACAGGCTTTAATATAATCAATATTAATGGGCTTCAAAGTGCAAATAGAACAGAGATGATAAATGCATATCTAATATGATTCATTTATACTGTAAAATAAAGCAACTGAGATAGGAAGCGTTCAGATAAAGTTATTGTACTGGCTGGATCAATCCAAATCTGTGGGAGATTCTCCCTAAGTGCAATCACTGTAATCGGAGTAAATATCTGACACAATTCCTCGAGTTGCTATGGGATAATAAAACTAGCTACTCCAGTAGGTGTGTCAGATGATTACACTGAATGCAATTTAGTGCGAGCCCCCCACATAGTTGGATTGATCCAGCTGGTGCAACATTTGAATCTGAATGTGGTCTAAGTTGAGTCCTGTGTAAAGCCCTTACCTTGTTTAATGCTCCCCAAAGCAACTGAAATGAGATACCAAATGATAAATGACATTAAACACTTGGAATGATTCCATTTCCATTATGTTACTACACAACTCATATTAGTACAGAATGATGCATCTTGATTACTGACAGGAAGAAAAATCACAGGCTTCTAGATGCAAAATAAAGTCCGTTTTAAATGAACATTTTGATGATGAACAAATATCAAATAAATCTATAGCTGACAGGCAACTATTACAGTCTAAACGAAAAACTAAAAGAAGACAATTCTATAATCAAAAGTCGCTTTTTATGGCATGTGTCCACCTCTCTTCTATAGTTACCATCAATCCCTTATCATGACAGACAGATTGTGCCAGTCTTTTCTAAATGTCACCCACCATGTCACCTTTAGATAACGACTATCATTACAGTTCATTTCCAAAAATTATCACCCACCTAATGAAAATAGAAATAACAAAGCTTACTGCTGTCAGTACTGAAGACCCCTCAACTCCCAATCCAGCATTACCAACAGATTTCAAATCTCAGTGATAGTGAACTTATTTCAATGCATATGCTGCGTTAACAAATTCTCACTCCACTTATGCAAAACATATTTCTTAAAAACAAGTAGTTTGGCTTGCAGTTACCTGGTGTTTGGCATCTGGTGTCATTAGTAACAGGTAATGCTTTCTCAACAGTCAGGTCTCCAGGTGATAGCACAGGCAGCCTGGAGGTAGTGTGTACAAACAGCCTGAAACATCAAGATGAGGCAGAATTTGATAAAACATGCTGTTAAGCTTAAATACATAATAGCAGATATAAGAGATAAAGGTCTGTGGTCCAATAGCTTAAAAACCATGCACTGTTCAATTTATGTCGAAGAGCAGATTGAAATACATATATAACTGGTAGTCCTATGAGCCATCTCTCACCATATAAGCTTGCCTTACTCGAAAAAAAACACCAAACAGGGAAAAATTTTAACCCCTTCATTTCCTGGACAAAAAAATTGTTAGCTAAAATCAATACCTTAGCTCATTAGAAAAAAAGACGGGTTGCACAAGCCAACGTGAATCTTTACAGCCTAGAGCAATAAAATTAGTCATTTACCCATAATCGCCTTCCCTTTCAACAATAGCCAATATTCTGGGGCTTTTGCTGCCATTACTAGGATTTATTAAACTGGCCTGGATACAGTAAAAATGTTAAGGAATGCAGGTAAAAATTTAAATTTGCATAAAAAAGCAAAAACAGCAAAGCTACTTAACACAGAAACATTAAAATATAATATTCAATGAAACAGATATATGTCTTGAATGACACATTTTGATATTATTCATATCATCATTTTTAAACGAGAACAATAGTGCACCTGTTTAACAGGAATTATGATTGATGATAAGCAACAGTTGCCCTAAGCAGTGTGAACAAGCAAAGTGGGTTTATTTGATTGTGATTCTATCTGGGTTAACAAGACCAAGGTTTACTTGCTTGTGTGAATGGCCCTTTTAACTGCATACCCCTGATGATGGACAAAACTCATATCAATCCAGGCTATTAAGTGACAAAGAACTTGAAGAAAACATTTCTCTTTAAAAAAAAAGATAACATGATTATACTAGTTCAAACTAGGTAAGAGGGAGTTTGTTAGAAAAATTTTGAATGGGAACAACAGAAATTTTTTTTCAAAACCCCTTCTAAAAAATGAATGTGTTTCAGCCATCTTCTTAGAACAAATTTTATGTTTGACATGTCACATAGTAATATAAAGTGTCAATGAATTATCAGTGCCAATGCCTATGTAATCAAGATTTAATTATTCTTGAAGTATTTTTGGGCATAAACGACATATCAATTTGCCTTCATTTAATGGCAAATGTCACTGCAATAAAATGTTTAAACACTTTTTAATACAACATGGAATACCATATGATAAACTTCACACCCTTTATAAGTGCAAAATAAAAATTGATCATTTGTATGTCAGTGGCAGATTTGATGGGCTTCTGAATCTTCCAGAAAACATACCTTGAAAAATTTTGTGAGAGGTATTTCTAAAAATGTGAAAGAAGGCATTTGCTCTATAAATGACTGGTGGCACCTAAGAATTGGAAAAGGGATGAATGAACAGCCTAGATGGAGAACTGTCAGCCTGAATCTTAACACTGTATCACTTAATCACTACAGCTGGAATATGCATATTCCTCATACTAATATCTAAATTGTTAATCCTCCGTATTTGACTAGGGATTATATGATTGAAAATGGTACCAATACAGAAACCATCTATCAACTTATTTACATGACATGAATTGTGCAGATAACAACTAGGTTATTCAGCCAAATTTGATAGATAAGTTTATTGGATGTAAAATTGTGAACAAAGGATATACAAAGACATCTCTCTGGAGCAGCAAGCTTTTTCTGAACCACTGCAGTAAGCTCCATCTTCTAACAACTAGGAATGCTGTTGTGCACTTCTTTGGTAGGCCAAAAGACCTGGAATAAACATAAACAATCACAATTTAGGAACATCATTGTATTCATAAACATCATGATCAAAAATTTTCATCAACTTTCAATACTGAACAAGGGTTTCCCCAGGATTTGGGATACAGGGAGTCCAAAATGTTAATCTGTAATTAGTGCATTGGTGCAGGAGCCCAACCCAAGCAAGCCCAACCAACACACCACAAAATTTGTTAGTCGTCCAGCTGTCTTTGGAAATATAGGCAGTCTTTTGAGACAAATGGCTGTCCAAATGACTGCTGGGTGGCTCTATAGGAACAGCCTTGCTACTGAAGTAAAACTAAAGCCAAACTAAAGCTCTCTGATATAAAATATATGTTTAATAATGTTTTTGTGAGCATCACAACTCTACACCACTTCCAACAATATTCATTCTAAGAGTCACGCTCTTTTATTTATTTCTTTTTGTTGATTGTCAAGTTTGGTATAGACAAATGGACCTAGATATATTCTTAACACTGGATAGTGTACATAAGCTATAATCAACACATTGCAAAGAGGTTGCACCAAAATTTGGAATGTACGTAAATTACCTGTTTTCCAATGTTTTTGTGAGTATCAGAGATCCAACTTTTATCGCTTCCAGTAGACTTTATTCTAAGAGTACTGCTCTTTTTTTATTGTCACTTTTGGCACAGATAGCTGGAACTAGATAAATTCTTAACACTGGATAGTGTACAACCAACATACTGCAAAGGGGATGCATCATGATTGGAATGTAATACCCCAGTGAATTTGTAACTGTTAAAATGCCAATGCTTTCCCAACTATCCATGCACTTCAACACAATACCCACTTTCATTCTTTATAAATATAATTAATCAACAACTGTTACTTTTATGAGGCTTGATGTCTTTTACATCTAATAAAGTTCTGATGTTGTATGATATTTTCAAGTTATTTAATGGCAGGCAAGGCTTAAAACTGCCTTGATTTATTTAATTCATAAGCACCCCTCGGAGTCTCCTTAAGTTAAAAAACCAAAACAAACCAAGGTGCATCTACCTAACCATCTCAACAACGATGACTAAACTATCAAATACGATATTAAAATAAAACAAAGTGTAATCAATTGTATTAAAAATGTAAAAACAGAAACTGCTCTTAACCCAAACATTATATTACCATAACTAAAATAAATTACAAACCTGTAAATTCCAAAAACTAATTCATTTTTTTTATCATCATGTTCATTTATCACAAAAAAACTGTGATATCTTATCGTATTATAGATTATCATTTTTCAGACAAGTTAAGAAAAACTTTTGATCAAAATGAGAAAGACCCTAGGCTTATCTAACGCATTTTGAAAAAAAAAATAACAAAAAACAAAACAGGATTTCAAAGATACAATGTATCAAAATATACATTCGCTACGTACATGTACGATATTTGGCAAAAAAAGTGTGCTCAAATTCTTTTCTATGGAAAACTCGTACATTTTTCAAAATGTTCACAGAAATTACCCGCTGAAAAGACTTCGGCTTGTTTTGTATCATTTCAAAACGCCCTGAATCGAGCTTTACGTTAACACAGTCTGCCAAATGCACAGATTACCATTACTACATTAGCGTCACTGCTGTCAACTGGGTGAAATAGATCTAAATAAAAACATTTCATTCAATTTCCATGTTCTTACATGCATTTACAACTCTACGATAATATAACACTCACCATAAAAAGTTAACGAGAGGCCAATACTAGGAATTCATCGACAGGCCTTAAAGGAAAGAGTTACACTCCTGTGGAACCTCTTTGCTCTCCGTCTGGGTTGCTGGGTCAAACACGCAGAGTTAAGACTTTGTTTGTCCAATATATTAAAAAATTCATCATGCATTGCTACTTTAAAATATTTTCATATTTTGTCAGTAATTCCAAACATTCCGTCAAATGCAAGAATTTATTCAAATTAAATACTTTGTCTTGGGCGCTTCATTATCTCAAAATAATGTTTCGAAACAATAGTTATTATACTCTATGACTCTGAATTTAGTTGTTGTAGAGACCACTGCTGACAACGTCAAAGGTCACAGCTAGTTAAAGTTTCTCACGTTTCTCGAAGTAAAATGCCCTCCTGGTAGCGTTATTTGATGTAAGAGAAAGACGGGTGAGTATATGACATTATTCAAGTAATGACGATAATAGTTGATTAGTCTTCTTGTACTGAGAAGCTGTTTAGTGTTGTTTCACAATGTTGAAGCACCTGCAATTTGCTGTGAATATGAACATTTGCATTGTTCGAGTAAGAGAGGAAGTGCAAGTCGTTTACCTAATTTATTTGCATTGGATGAAATTATTTTTATTTTAAAATCTTTAACTTTTCAAGGTTCTGGTATATCTACTTGGTTCATACAGTACATAACAATCACATTAATTGTAAATGTGAAATGTCTACAGCTATTCCAGTATACTGGTATCACGGTTTGTTTGACCTTGTAGTCCTTGTTTCTAATATTTTGCATGATTTTATTTTAATACAAAGGTGAGTGGTCATACCCATGAAGCGACAGCTTATTCAGCTTCTTTTATTATAATTATTATAGTATTCAAGTATTTCGCTTCTTTGTTTACAAGGTATCCCACATGAAGACAGTTTGAAGGATATTGTAGAGTTCCTGGTCACACTCCATGCTAAAACGTCTATAGATTGTTCAAAACACTGTCTTGAGAATGGATACTATAGTAACAGGGTCCCAGCAGCCTACAAGGCATGTACGCCCCATCCATGAACAAATATTGGAATCTGAGAACTCAAAAAACTACATGGAAAGGAAAAAAATTCCAGAGATGTTCCAAAGCCTGGCAGCTAGTCTGATGATGGAGAGACCCCAGGATCACTTAACTTTTATTGAGGAAAAACTGGAAATAATGAAAAAAGAAGGTGATGACAATATTAATTGGGAAACATTTATTTACCATTTACATCCTATGCGGGATGCTGTTAGAGAGAAATATGTCAAAGATGGAAAGTTTGAGGAAAGGAAAGAAAAGGAGAAGAAGAAAAGGAAGAGTCAAGGACCTGAAGTATTTGAACTCACTGAAACACTTGCAGAAGATGATGATGTATAACATATTGACCAGTTGAAAGCAGTCCTGGTTATGTTGTCAAAGTTTATATACATGTAGAGAAATGAATATAGACTGGACTTAGTTCTTCCAACACTACAATGAAAATACTGACGTTCAATATATCAGGAGACAGGGTTTTTAATGAACATACCCATTTAATTGATAGCCAAGATACCTTATTAGTTTTCAGTTTATGTCACATTAGAAGGAGGGGGTTCATAGCTCACTATGTCACTCCAATTATCAATCTTTCAATTTAAGAGCGGTTTCATTAAGACTAAAGGGAAAATGAATAATGACAATTAACCTAATTATTAAACATTATTATTATTAAAAATTATTAAACTTATACACCAGTCATTTATAAAGCATTTGACCGACACAAGATTTGAATACTTTCAATCATGTTTCTCCAAATTCAATATGACAAATTTGATTAGGTACAGCTATGATTGATGAAGGGTTTTTCATTACTATATAGATTTTTGTTTGATTTGAAGTTTTTTAATTTTATTTATTTATTTAACACAATACACACATTTAAATACATGCACAATTAAATGTGGTTTTGTAGTGATCTAAATAAAAAAATAATTTGAGCACTGATTTTTGTAACAGGGTTTAGAATATATAAAACTTAAACTAACTTTATATTATACACGTACCTGGTGTGGGTTAATTAGCTTATCATTTGAAAATCACTACATCATTTTTAGTTATTGTCATCTTTAGTTCCATGACTCATTCCTAATTTAACTTTGATCAAAGTGCAATGAAAATGAATTGTGGCAGGTTTCATAAAATAAATTAAGCATTAGAAATGAATTTGAACATGATATTAGAAATTTAAGGTGTACAAGGAAATACCAGCATTCATTTTTAGTCCTTCTCATACTGAAAAATCTCTTGCCATGATAAAACAATTCTCATGGTTTATTTCTATGTAGCCTTGGCTAGAATGGAACAGTGTGCAGGAGTAGCACTGTAGTAGCATTTCCATAAATTGAAAACAATTATATCGACATAAAGTTAGGTACCTTCAAACACTTGAAACTTATGCCAAGGTATACTTGCAATCTCTTTTCTGATACAGTAATGCCTGTGTCATTGCTCAATGTCTTCCCCAATAAATTTTTGGGGAGATAAAAGACAATTTATTGAATAGCAATAATTATGTGCTTAATTTATTAATACTTTTTTTAATGCAGTGCTTGATAACAGGTTGTCAGTTGATGAAAACTTATCTTATATTGTTATATTTATTCAATGAAAATAATTATGCTTTTACATTTTCTTCAAAATGTACTTCCAATCTTTTCATTTGAAATAAAAATCTAAAAAATATTTGATTCATGTAATACTTATTCATATTGTGATATAGATTACCCCAGCTGTATAACAAAAAGACTATACTTTTGTTGGTCTTGTTTCTTCATATCTATCTTGTGCGAAAAAAATATTCGATCAAGCCACCTTACTGGAAAAGTTAATACCTATCATCTGTTGCCATAAATATATTTTTGATTACAAAGATAAGAAATACAATCTTCACTATGTACTTAATGAGTAAGAATATGAGATTCATTACATTTAATCCAACAAAGCCATGGCTTACTTGAGATCCTGTTACAAAAAATTCATTTGATTATGTCCACATTATCTGATGGAAACCTTCCCGCTGACTTTAAATTCAGACTTTAGCAAAACAGAACTGAAATCAACCAGTTAGCCTCTCCTACAGAAGTAATAATTTTGATTCAAATTCTAGAAATTATCTTGTATGCTTCAGTCTTGTACATACATGTAAAAGGTGGTTTGAAATGTTACAAAAGGTGAAAATGAAAACACAAAACATTTACTATTTACAATGTAAACAGCATAAAAAATATCTGCATATCCTAAATAAGACTTATAATAAATAGACTGTATTAAATGAAAGAACAACCAATCAACCCTGCTGCTGTCTGAGTACCTGAAGTCAAAGGACTTCTTATCTTTTTGTGTAACTTTACATAATTAAACAATGGTCATAATATAAGTTACTTTCAATAATAATATGTGTCTTGAATGAAATTGCTCTTAACCCACAGATGCATTAAAGATTTTTAATCTCTGTTTTTTAAACTTCAACATTTTTAATATCTAGCTAGGTAGTTTGTTTCCTTTTCAGTTAAGTGACAAAGACACAGAGGGCAAATTGGCTGACAATGATTAATCTACATTATGCAAAATTGGCTGAAAAAAGTAATTGAGTAATGCTGCTCATGTCTGTATATTTAAAATATAAAATACATGCTCTAACATTTAAAATATCACCACATTGTTTCAGCCACCATCACTCTTAAGTCCAACATATCTACCCCAAATACATAAAAAAAGTTATATTTACACACTTTCAACAAAATTCTTCCATCTACACACCTGCAATGCCTATTCAAAATATCACTAAGTATGTGTGACTACGTATTAAAAAGGAACAGTTTCAAGCTAGCTCAACACTAACATGCTGAAAGACTATATTAATAATATTTTAATTTAAAAATGGTCCTCTATAGTCCACATTGATGCTTATCACTTTATTAAAATTGTGCAATCTAAAGACAACATGGCTGACAACATTTTATACACAGTTGAGTAAACAAGCTTCACAAAATAATCACAATTTCGTTATTTTGTAATTGATCACAAAAAATAACTATCTAGCTTACATTACCTAAAACGTTTATAAATGCCTTTCTTATATACCACAGGTTGAAAAAAAATACATTACACCATTATTCTAATTGTGATGCTTAGTCATATTTTTTATCACCTCTTGGTGGTTTCACTGGATTCATGAATATCCCAAGGGTGGCATTAAGCAGAGCAGGACCCACCAAAGTTCCACACATCCACAGCACTTGATGCACAGTTAAGGCCTCCAGAGCAGCATGATGATACAGAATCACAAAAAGCTGTAATACTGGAATCTGGACAGAATAAGAAGGGTAATAATGAATCATGTTGAACTGGTTTAGGTTGTACTATTTTTCATGTTGAAAATAAATTAAATGTCAAATGCAAATCACTGCTACGTAATCTTTATATCTCTGGAATCAAACCATGCATTCTGGAAAAACTCAAAATAAGGCAAATACCTCATATGCTACTTGCTATGTACAGTCCTGTGATATCACAATTTTATGTCCCAATAATTATAATTATTCAAAAATAGATAAACTAAGCTTAAAGAGTGCAATACAACTTACCAATACTCTGCCCAACAGAACAGCCTGTTTATCCTTGTCATATGTGAACTCTCTGGCTGCCTGAGACAGCAAGGCGCTAGCAATAAGCATGGTACCAAGAAGGCGAGTGGTGTGCGTGTGGAGACCATCTATTGCAGTATACTAAAATATAAATAAAAAGTATTCAATTAAAGTGTGTAAGCATATATTTTGATTCATCCAGTAATAGTTTCTAACAAATGAAGTATGAAAACTAAATCACTTACTGGACACTTATTTACATTTGGAACAATTTTGGACAATGAGAAAGTCTATAATATAAGATATAAACATAATGGCCAAATTCGTAACATTTGTTACATAGTTTAGTAGTTCATGACTCAATTTTAATCCTTTGTTTTTCAAGTTACAAAAAATAAATAAATGTAACTTCTGATTATCAGTACAAAAGCATGGATGGATTCAGGATTTGAAAAGGGGGCTAAAACAATACGATACCGTGAATCCACAACTATCAGTAATAATATGGTCACAATTACATTCATTCTTCAAATTCTCATTTATATATTTTTTCTTTAGCTCTAAGGTTTTTCTGTACCTAATAACACGATATTTAGAATACATCAATTACAGAAAAGATTATTCTTTTTTAACATGGTTAATTCAACCATGTTGTAAAAATTTCCAGTGATGTTCTTCAATGGGTTACCAACTTAATTTTGGGTGTATATACTCCAAATCACAGGGGAGCAATTGAATACAATCAATGAGCACAAAAAAAGGTTCAACCTACTCTAAACAGCTTCAACAGCACAACTTGAGGGAAAGCCAAGTGTGCAATTCCCAAGAGAAATGTGGCGTAGTAATCAAGTCCTAAGAAAGCATTCATATTTTTACTTCCTCCTTGAAACTGCTCTGGTGGTCTGTTCAATATGATATGGATAAGGTTACCAAGTAACCAAAGAAGTGTTCCCAGAAAGCCAAAGTACAAGTGCTAAAGGAAAAAAATAACACAGAAAGATCACTTCAAAGGAAACAGATATGCCTTTAAATGGCAGCTGAACTATATTTGTATTAAGCAAACACTTATATCTGAGTTATCTATAACTTAAGCCCAAAAACTCCAGATTACACTGTTAAAAGCATGGGCATGAAACATATATTTCAAATTCATTTTAAGACTCAAGATACAGCCGAATATATTCAAATACACTAGCTTATAATAAAACTCCTACAAAACTCCTACAAAATAATTGGATCAGCAACTCATAGTTTAACTTAGATAAAAAGGCATAGTTTCAAATGATCACTTCCTTCTGATGGCTTCTGACAATATAAAGTGATCAATTTGCACTTTTACAGATGTGAAAGCATGTTACCTCATCAGTGAGAGGTGAGTTCTTCTCCATCACTTGCACATAAAATTTGGAAAGTAGCATACATGATGTTGCCTGAAAAAGAAAATATTTCAAAATGTTATTTCTAGATAAAATCATTTCAACTTTACAGAATGAAAAGCATCATTTTCTAAATCTTCATTTACAATCATTATTATTATTTGTTTTGCCACCAGCCATTCCAGTTTGTGGAAGGAGTGAAGGCTGTTTCCACCATCACGCTGAGGTAATTCAAACAATCTGTCCTCCCAATTCACAACTTCTCTAGACTCTATGCAACACCTTGTGTATGTGCAATTATAAATGCACTAATGCATTAGATAAATGTTTGCAAAAAATTGATTTTGAATTTGTTTGTATTTTGAAATTCACATACCAAAAGCATCCAGAAAACCCCAAAGCATGAAAATTAATTAAAATTGAAAAGAAGCTAATAAAACAATTTACCAAAACTCTTGATGAGAGGACAGCAGACGACACTCGCTCATCAACAGAACTTCTTGACAAGAGGTAAAAGACATTGGAGCCCAGGATCACTGTGGCATATATCCGAGTAAGGAACACGTGGGTTGAATCAAAGTCAATATTTGTCTGAAAGCAAAAAAATAAATAAATACATTAAATACAAATGAAATCAAATTAAATTAAATGGTCAATTGAGCATATTTATCTGCAAGTTTCTCCTACTTTAACATTGANTCAACCAGTTAGCCTCTCCTACAGAAGTAATAATTTTGATTCAAATTCTAGAAATTATCTTGTATGCTTCAGTCTTGTACATACATGTAAAAGGTGGTTTGAAATGTTACAAAAGGTGAAAAAGAAAACACAAAACATTTACTATTTACAATGTAAAAAGCATAAAAAATACTGCATATCCTAAATAAGACTTATAATAAATAGACTGTATTAAATGAAAGAACAACCAATCCTGCTGCTGTCTGAGTACCTGAAGTCAAAGGACTTCTTATCTTTTTGTGTAACTTTACATAATTAAACAATGGTCATAATATAAGTTACTTTCAATAATAATATGTGTCTTGAATGAAATTGCTCTTAACCCACAGATGCATTAAAGATTTTTAATCTCTGTTTTTTAAACTTCAACATTTTTAAGATCTAGCTAGGTAGTTTGTTTCCTTTTCAGTTAAGTGACAAAGACACAGAGGGCAAATTGGCTGACAATGATTAATCTACATTATGCAAAATTGGCTGAAAAAAGTAATTGAGTAATGCTGCTCATGTCTGTATATTTAAAATATAAAATACATGCTCTAACATTTAACATATCACCGCACTGTTTCAGCCACCATCACTCTTAAGTCCAACATATCTACCCCAAATACATAAAAAAAGTTATATTTACACACTTTCAACAAAATTCTTCCATCTACACACCTGCAATGCCTATTCAAAATATCACTAAGTATGTGTGACTACGTATTAAAAAGGAACAGTTTCAAGCTAGCTCAACACTAACATGCTGAAAGACTATATTAATAATATTTTAATTTAAAAATGGTCCTCTATAGTCCACATTGATGCTTATCACTTTATTAAAATTGTGCAATCTAAAGACAACATGGCTGACAACATTTTATACACAGTTGAGTAAACAAGCTTCACAAAATAATCACAATTTCGTTATTTTGTAATTGATCACAAAAAATAACTATCTAGCTTACATTACCTAAAACGTTTATAAATGCCTTTCATATATACCACAGGTTGAAAAAAAATACATTACACCATTATTCTAATTGTGATGCTTAGTCATATTTTTTATCACCTCTTGGTGGTTTCACTGGATTCATGAATATCCCAAGGGTGGCATTAAGCAGAGCAGGACCCACCAAAGTTCCACACATCCACAGCACTTGATGCACAGTTAAGGCCTCCAGAGCAGCATGATGATACAGAATCACAAAAAGCTGTAATACTGGAATCTGGACAGAATAAGAAGGGTAATAATGAATCATGTTGAACTGGTTTAGGTTGTACTATTTTTCATGTTGAAAATAAATTAAATGTCAAATGCAAATCACTGCTACGTAATCTTTATATCTCTGGAATCAAACCATGCATTCTGGAAAAACTCAAAATAAGGCAAATACCTCATATGCTACTTGCTATGTACAGTCCTATGATATCACAATTTTATGTCCCAATAATTATAATTATTCAAAAATAGATAAACTAAGCTTAAAGAGTGCAATACAACTTACCAATACTCTGCCCAGCAGAACAGCCTGTTTATCCTTGTCATATGTGAACTCTCTGGCTGCCTGAGACAGCAAGGCGCTAGCAATAAGCATGGTACCAAGAAGGCGAGTGGTGTGCGTGTGGAGACCATCTATTGCAGTATACTAAAATATAAATAAAAAGTATTCAATTAAAGTGTGTAAGCATATATTTTGATTCATCCAGTAATAGTTTCTAACAAATGAAGTATGAAAACTAAATCACTTACTGGACACTTATTTACATTTGGAACAATTTTGGACAATGAGAAAGTCTATAATATAAGATATAAACATAATGGCCAAACTCGTAACATTTGTTACATAGTTTAATAGTTCATGACTCAATTTTAATCCTTTTGTTTTTCAAGTTACAATAAATAAATAAATGTAACTTCTGATTATCAGTACAAAAGCATGGATGGATTCAGGATTTGAAAAGGGGGCTAAAACAATACAATACCATGAATCCACAACTATCAGTAATAATATGGTCACAATTACATTCATTCTTCAGATTTTCACTTATATATTTTTTCTTTTGCTCTAAGGATTTTCTGTACCTAATAACATGATATTTAGAATACATCAATTACAGAAAAGATTATTCTTTTTAACATGGTTAATTCAACCATGTTGTAAAAATTTCCAGTGATGTTCTTCAATGGGTTACCAACTTAATTTTGGGTGTATATACTCCAAATCACAGGGGAGCAATTGAATACAATCAATGAGCACAAAAAAAGGTTCAACCTACTCTAAACAGCTTCAACAGCACAACTTGAGGGAAAGCCAAGTGTGCAATTCCTAAGAGAAATGTGGCGTAGTAATCAAGCCCCAAGAAAGCATTCATATTTTTACTTCCTCCTTGAATATGCTCTGGTGGTCTGTTCAATATGATATGGATAAGGTTACCAAGTAACCAAAGAAGTGTTCCCAGAAAACCAAAGTACAAGTGCTAAAGGAAAAAAATAACACAGAAAGATCACTTCAAAGGAAACAGATATGCCTGTAAATGGCAGCTGAGCTATATTTGTATGAAGCAAACACTTATATCTGAGTTATCTATAACTTAAGCCCAAAAACTCCAGATAACACTGTTAAAAGCATGGGCATGAAACATATATTTCAAATTCATTTTAAGACTCAAGATGCAGCTGAATATATTCAAATACACTAGCTTATAATAAAACTCCTACAAAATAACTGGATCAGTAACTCATAGTTTAACTTAGATAAAAAGGCATAGTTTCAAATGATCACTTCCTTCTGATGGCTTCTGACAATATAAAGTGATCAATTTGCACTTTTACAGATGTGAAAGCATGTTACCTCATCAGTGAGAGGTGAGTTCTTCTCCATCACTTGCACATAAAATTTGGAAAGTAGCATACATGATGTTGCCTGAAAAAGAAAATATTTCAAAATGTTATTTCTAGATAAAATCATTTCAACTTTACAGAATGAAAAGCATCATTTTCTAAATCTTCATTTACAATCATTATTATTATTTGTTTTGCCACCAGCCGTTCCAGTTTGTGGAAGGAGTGAAGGCTGTTTCCACCATCACGCTGAGGTAATTCAAACAATCTGTCCTCCCAATTCACAACTTCTCTAGAATCTATGCAACACCTTGTGTATGTGCAATTATAAATGCACTAATGCATTAGATAAATGTTTGCAAAAAAATTGATTTTGAATTTGTTTGTATTTTGAAATTCACATACCAAAAGCATCCAGAAAACCTCAAAGCATGAAAATTAATTAAAATTGAAAAGAAGCTAATAAAACAATTTACCAAAACTCTTGATGAGAGGACAGCAGACGACACTCGTTCATCAACAGAATTTCTTGACAAAAGGTAAAAGACATTGGAGCCCAGGATCACCGTGGCATATATCCGAGTAAGAAACACGTGGGTTGAATCAAAGTCAATATTTGTCTGAAAGCAAAAAATACAAGAAAAACAAATGAAATCAAATTAAATTAAATGGTCAAATGAGCATATTTAGATCTGCAAATTTCTCCTACTTTAACATTGAAAAAATGTAATGGTCTGAGAGAAGAGAAATGCTGTTGTAACAATTGCCATATGGTTATTTAATTAACACCAATTGGCAAATACATCTCTGTCATACATGACATGTATCCTGATAAATCATACAATTCCAATATCCTGATTCCATTACAATCCATGCACGCACATTGTACAATGGCACCCTGGATATATAACTAAATGTACAAAGTGACAAGGCTTTCAATAGGTACTTAATTAACACTTAGTTAAGGTCTTACTGACTGATAAAATCTGTTATGATTACCTGAGTTTGGAGTAAAACGTGAGGATACACCAGTTTGATCAAGCCAAACACTGTGGTCGCAACTAAATCTGTCATAAGCCACGTTCTTTTTGACGTCCACGCCGTCGTGAGAAAGATCAAAATGAAAACCACTGCAATAGTATAAAACATCTCCATCTCAAAGAATATGATACCCGCTGTCTTGTGTAAAGGGGGTCGTATCGTGTAGAAATCTACCAAGTCCTCGTAAATCACAACTACAAGCCTCGTGCGGTCTTGGTTATTTAACTCTCGGTGCTATTAGCTTGATAATAAAAGAATTTAGTACGTGTAGTTCACGTGTATTACAAAAGCAACGTGAGGTCCTCGGGGAAGTACTGCATATTAACGCGGGGCTTACATCGATACTCTGTCGTCCCGCATCAGGAATACGTACTCAGCTTAGTAGAGCAGTACTGACGTCATCGGTAAATGTAATAGTCGATAACTATTTCCGCCCGACGTCCTGGAAATCGCTCTCAGAGCAACACGAGTGGATTTCCACGTCTAGTTTAGTTTATAAATGAATGCTGGAAGCGTTGCGCCGTTGTTTGTACACGCGTTAAAAGACATTGTGTTGATTTGGGGTATGAGCCAAATTTATCACATTTTTAATTTCCAAAAAACGGAATACGAAAACAGGTCTTTGTGCCATACACCCCTGTCAATACTTTATTGACTCACTGTATGTGCATTCAAGCTGCCGACCTAAAAATAGATGGAATTCCTTGCCTGACGTCACGACCGCGAGAGGGCAGCACTAAAAGTTTATGAGCGTCGGATGAAATCAGGCCGCAGCGTGTGACATAATTTGAATTTGCAGCGGGGGAAAACATTAGATTAAAACACACTCCAGCGTTTTTATGACCAAAAATCGTTTAACATGGATACATTAGATTATCTTCGTTCTGCGGGAATGGTGATTGCGTTTTGTGTCACCGCTTTTAGCGGGAGAAAAAATTGGATGCTCACTGATTTGATTGTGTCCGTTGTCTTTGGAGCTGCATGGTTCATTCTTCCAACGTACACATTGGGATTTCAGGTAATATTGCTATTAAGTTTAAGTGACAGTGATCAATACGTTATATTAAGATATTTAGGTAACACGATGGTGAACGACCACGATCTGGGGTCTAAGATTATGTTAGAAATGAAGGTGTAGGCCTAAGTCGTGTTACACAAAACATGACTGTACAGTAGGGGTTACATAAGGCCAATGGTAAATTCTTTTTTTTAATATTTGTTTTCCTTATTATAACTGACAGTGATTGATGGATTTATAAGTGCATGCCCAACATTATGAACAACAGAGGTCCCATGGACTAATACACATTGTTTATGATACTTAATATATACATTGTTTAAATTTTTAATTTCTCATACCAGCCTGCATGTGTGGAACTGTATTACACGTTTCCGTAATAATTGATGATCATTATGTAATTAATATGAATTAAAAATAGACAAAATCAATGCAGATAAAAGAAGTAAAAAAGAAAGGGGGAGGGGGATATTCTACACACCATTAATCACAGTAAGTCAAAGCCTTAGGCTACGTGTACCAAAGTGTGCTGGAAGTCAAAGCTTCATCTAATTCATGAGACCCAATGCAATTTCAGACTGTGGGGAAGTTAAATACACTACATGCCCATGTCACAAGGGATTTTGCTGCACACATGCTTTCATCAGCATTTGTATGGTGGAAAACAAGGGAGAGCAGAGATGAAACAGTTCCAGTAACTCTCATGACAGGAAGAGTGGTGGTAAGATCACCTGGAAAATAATTTTTTAGCTGATGAAGAGATCAGATTATCATTTGACAGCAGAGTCGAAAATCTTTATTTATTTAATTTATTTTTTTATAACTTAACCTATTGATAATTTATCTAAATATATTAGCATACTTTTTTTTTTGTCAAGTTAAGAATATATAAATGAAGCATTTAAAAACTGCCTGATTTAAAAAATCTTTTCCAGGGTAACTCAATTCTTCTGTGTGCCATGGTGTATGCACAGAAGTATGCAGCTGGAAAAGGGGTTTGGACTGAACAGGTAATTGCTGCATTCAAGGGAGAATTTATACATGGGTTTTTGCTCTGGCTTCCACTCCTAACCCCCAAGTGGGATATCACCCTTAATTTGTCTCCTCAATTAAAGGGTTACTCCATGGGATTTTCCTGCCAAAATGAATTTTCCTGGGATAAAGAACAGTTTGTCTTACTTGCGAATAATGCTTGACCCATTCTTGCACTTGGATTTTCTGTTTATTTCATTTTTTAATTTAATACTTTAGTTAAAATGACAGTCCAGCACTTGACAGATGTCTTTTGTATATATAATATGTGACATCTGCTGTCATGTGCATTGCCTCCTTTTCACGCAATTAAATGGCTTGTTGTTTTGTATCTGAACTAATTCATGAATCCTTCATGGTGTAAGTATTTTTGTGATTCTATTTAGTCTGTTCCATTTCAGCACATTTGGTTTGGAATGCTGGGCTGTGCCTGCTGGTTGCTAGGGAACTTGATACAGTTGTTGAAAACCAAGGACTTTGGTGGAAGTTTCCAAGGGGACACTCGCCTGGACTGGCATCTGAGAATTGACTTCTATATCGTCTTTGTTATTAGTGTAGTGAGATTTGCCTTTCCAGAGGTTGCACCAGATTTTGTGGTGAGGAAATCATTCTGTTATTTTGATTGAAAGATTATCAAAGACTACTGGCTATTCTCGATTTGACATGTTATTGTCCATATTACCCAATTTTGGTTACACACAGCATATTTGAGTTACGAGCAATTACAAACTGATTATATTATTTGCAAATATGCATAATTCAATTTCAAGTACCTGTACNAAATGTAATGGTCTGAGAGAAGAGAAATGCTGTTGTAACAATTGGCATATGGTTATTTAATTAACACCAATTGGCAAATACATCTCTGTCATACATGACATGTATCCGATAAATCATACAATTCCAATATCCTGATTCCATTACAATCCATGCATGTACAGTACATCGTACAATGGCACTCTGGATATCCAACTAAATGTACAATGTGACAAGGCTTTCAATAGGTACTTACACTTAGTTAAGGTCTGACTGACTGTAAAAATCTGTTATGATTACCTGAGTTTGGAGTAAAACGTGAGGATACACCAGTTTGATCAAGCCAAACACTGTGGTCGCAACTAAATCTGTCATAAGCCACGTTCTTTTTGACGACCACGCCGTCGTGAGAAAGATCAAAATGAAAACCACTGCAATGGTATAAAACATCTCCATCTCAAAGAATATGATACCCGCTGTCTTGTGTAAAGGAGGTTGTATCGTGTAGAAATCTACCAAGTCCTTCTCGTAAATCACAACTACAAGCCTCGTGCGGTCTTGGTTATTTAACTCTCGGCGCTATTAGCTTGATAATAAAAGAATTTAATACGTGTAGTTCACGTGTATTACAAAAGCAACGTGAGGTCCTCGGGGAAGTACTGCATATAAACGCGGGGCTTACATCGATACTCTGTCGTCCCGCATCAGGAATACGTACTCAGCTTAGTAGAGCAGTACTGACGTCATCGGTAAATGTAATAGTCGATAACTATTTCCGCCCGACGTCCTGGAAATCGCTCTCAGAGCAACACGTGTGGATTTCCACTCCACGTCTATTTTAGTTTATAAATGAATGCTGGAAGCGTTGCGCCGTTGTTTGTACACGCGTTAAAAGACATTGCGTTGATTTGGGGTATGAGCCAAATTTATCACATTTTTAATTTCCAAAAAACGGAATACGAAAATAGGTCTTTGTGTCATACACCCCTGTCAATACTTTATTGACTCACTGTATGTGCATTCAAGATGCCGACCTAAAAATAGATGGAATTCCTTGCCTGACGTCACGACCGCGAGAGGGCAGCACTAAAAGTTTATGAGCGTCGGATGAAATCAAGTCGCAGCGTGTGACATCATTTGAATTTGCAGCGGGGAAAACATTAGATTAAAACAAACTCAAGCGTTTTTATAACCAAAATAGTTTAACATGGATACATTAGATTATCTTCGTTCTGCGGGAATGGTGATTGCGTTTTGTGTCACCGCTTTTAGCGGGAGAAAAAATTGGATGCTCACTGATTTGATTGTGTCCGTTGTCTTTGGAGCTGCATGGTTCATTCTTCCAACGTATACATTGGGATTCCAGGTAATATTGCTTTTAAGTTTAAGTGACAGTGATCAATACGTTATATTAAGATATTAAGGTAACACGATAGTGAACGACTTCGATCTGGGGTCTAAGATTATGTTAGAAATGAAGGTGTAGGCCTAAGTCGTGTTACACAAAACATGACTGTAGGGGTTACATAAGGCCAATGGAGAAATAAAGGCTTACTAAAATAATGGTAAATTTTTTTTATATTAGTTTTCCTTATTATAACTGACAGTGATTGATGGATTTATAAATGCATGTCCAACATTATGAACAACAGAGGTCCCATGGACTAGTACACATTGTTTATGATACTTTATATATACATTGTTTAAATTTTTAATTTCTCATACCAGCCTGCATGTGTGGACCTGTATTACACGTTTCCGTAATAATTGATGATCATAATGTAATTAATATGAATTAAAAATAGACAAATTCATTGCAGATAAAAAAAGTAAAAAAGAAAGGGGGAGGGGGATATTCTACACACCATTAATACTGTAAGTCAAAGCCTTAGGCTACGTGTACCAAAGTGTGCTGGAAGTCAAAGCTTCATCTAATTCATGAGACCCAATGCAATTTCAGACTGTGGGGAAGTTAAATACACTACATGCCCATGTCACAAGGGATTTTGCTGCACACATGCTTTCATCAGCATTTGTATGGTGGAAAACAAGGGAGAGCAGAGATGAAACAGTTCCAGTAACTCTCATGACAGGAAGAGTGGTGGTAAGATCACCTGGAAAATAATTCTTTAGCTGATGAAGAGATCAGATTATCATTTGACAGCGTAGTTGAAAATCTTTCTTTATTTTATTTATTTTTTTATAACTTAACCTATTGATAATTTATCTAAATATATTAGCATACTTTTTTTTGTCAAGTTAAGAATATATAAATGAAGCATTTAAAAACTGCCTGATTTAAAAAATCTTTTCCAGGGTAACTCAATTCTTCTGTGTGCCATGGTGTATGCACAGAAGTATGTAGCTGGAAAAGGGGTTTGGACTGAACAGGTAATTGCTGCATTCAAGGGAGAATTCATACATGGGTTTTTGCTCTGGCTTCCACTCCTAACCCCCAAGTCGGATATCACCCTTAATTTGTCTCCTCAATTAAAGGGTTACTCCATGGGATTTTCCTGCCAAAATGAATTTTCCTGGGATAAAGAACAGTTTGTCTTACTTGCGAATAATGCTTGACCCATTCTTGCACTTGGATTTTCTGTTTATTTCATTTTTTAATTTAATACTTTAGTTAAAATGACTGTCCAGCACTTGACAGATGTCTTTTGTATATATAATATATGACATCTGCTGTCATGTGCATTGCCTCCTTTTCACGCAATTAAATGGCTTGTTGTTTTGTATCTGAACTAATTCATGAATCCTTCATGGTGTAAGTATTTTTGTGATTCTATTTAGTCTGTTCCATTTCAGCACATTTGGTTTGGAATGCTGGGCTGCGCCTGCTGGTTGCTAGGGAACTTGATACAGTTGTTGAAAACCAAGGACTTTGGTGGAAGTTTCCAAGGGGACACTCGCCTGGACTGGCATCTGAGAATTGACTTCTATATCGTCTTTGTTATTAGTGTAGTGAGATTTGCCTTTCCAGAGGTTGCACCAGATTTTGTGGTGAGTAAATCATTCTGTTATTTTGATTGAAAGATTATCAAAGACTATTGGCTATTCTCGATTTGACATGTTATTGTCCATATTACCCAATTTTGGTTACACACAGCATATTTGAGTTACAAGCAATTACAAACTGATTATATTATTTGCAAATATGCATAATTCAATTTCAAGTACCTGTGCAAATTTACAAGAAAAGGGGCCTCCATTAAAATTCAACACATTCTCCACACGGAATGCTAAACTGACAGTGATTCTTAAAAAGTGATTTTGTAATCTTCCCTTTCAGGCCAAGCAGCCCCTTCTCAAGGGAGGCGTGGATGCCATTATCATCCACATGGTGCGTGCCATCAGTGCCTTGAGTATTGGGTATTGTATGACAGTGTTCAATGCACCCATGTTCAGATATGATGCAGACAAGAAAGCTGTGCTGCAAGGCAGACTGGTGGTGAGGTTTTGCTTACTTTCTTTTTATGTACAGACACAGATGTGTCTGTACATATAGCCGTCATCTGCGTCTGTCGTCGCCGTCGTCGCCGTCGCCGTGCACTTTTACCGATAACACGATAAGTGGAAAACTGTTTTTTTCTTTTTGTTTGAAACTTACAGAACTGATGAATATTCATAATACGCAGGTCGAGTTCGAAAATCAGCATGATCGGGTCACTTATAGGGAATTTATGCTGTTTTTTCACTTTTTTCAGCATATATGCAGCACCGATAACACGATAAGTGGAAAACCATTTTACCTTTTGGCTTGAAACTTACAGAACTGATGAATATACATAATACGCAGGTCAAGTTCGAAAATCAGCATGAT